ACTTTTGGTCCCTTGACAACACCTTTCTCATGACTCTGCTATCCTTCCCTTTCCACAGGAGAGGCCCTTCCTTTTTAAATTGGAGAGCATAAAAATATCCTGCCCCCCCCCCACCTTCGGCATCCCAAATTGAATCAGTATTTAGCTCAGTAGTGACTGACGGGGAGGGAGAGCCACTCAGGGAGGGCTGCATCTGGCCTTCACCACAGGATGCCCAGTGTCCAGACTGAACCACCCCTTGGCCCTGGGTACGGCTAGAAGGAAGTAGTCAGGAAATCCAAAATGACAACAGAAGGAGGAGGCTGGGGAGTGGGGCTCCACCGGGAGGACACACAGTGACATTTCACGCAGAGGGTGCTCCAGGAAGGCTCAAAGGCAATCTGTAGGGAAACAGGCTCTGGGCTCAACTCAGTGAGGGAAAACATTGGGTTAACCAAGTTCTTTACTGGAGGACTTCCTGGAACCTCGAATATGCTGATGTGTATTGTGAATCTATAAAAAGGGGACGTCTGGTGCAGCATTAACTTACTTAACCACAGAAACCTTTGTTTGTTTGCTTTTTTGGCAGAGAGCTTAGCGCACTGCACAGCTTAAAACCCTGAGCTTGAAACCTCAGGTTTCCTACCCTGCATGGGGTTTTCACTCAGTGCTGGGGACCTTGGAATACAAAGACAAGGTCCCTGCTCCCAAGGAGTGCCATCTGTGGAAGGCAGCCATGTGCAGGGTTCAATGGCGGTGAGCCAGTGTGCAGGGCAGCCCTGAAAAGGAGGCAGGGAGCAGGCGAGGAGCTGGAGCTAGAGGACGCCTGGGCTCCCCGGGTGAAAGGGAGGTGCCAGAAAGTGTGATACGACCATTTGAAGTTGAGAGAGGTGCGGTGGGAAGCAGGGAGGGAAACGTGGACGACTATCCTCCCTCAAATCTTCTCACCTTTGAACTGACCAAGCTGGTCGCTCTTCCCACTCAGTCACAGGATTGTGGGGGGTGGGCCCTCTATCCCTCCCAGCCCCCACCCTCAGCCACATCTATGCTATTCAACTTGGGCTAACATCCAGAAGCCAGGGAACAGCTATTCACAAATTCAGTAATTGGACTCATTAGCGTTGACTCAGAAATCTTTTTTTTCCTAAGTCTCTCTCTTGGAGAAGCTTTTAAGATCCTTTAAATTGGTTAATGGAGAGTTTAGAAATGAGGACAGAGCCTCAGCTTTCAGCTCCCCCTGCCCATCTCCTTGGCACTCCCCAACATACTCAAGGCAAGAGTGATGAGATAATCCAATATCTGTTTTATTAAACACCCAGACATTTCTGGCACACATTTCCCAAACGGGGACCTCAAAATCTATACTCTCCAGCTCAAGACTCCTAGCACTCCATCTACATTTACTCTCCCATGGGTAGGACAGTAATAATGCTTTCACATAAAATTGCAGTGTGAACTGACAGACAAGAACCCTGGAGTCAGGAGACCCAGGTAACCTCATCCTGGCTTGGCGACTCATAAAGCCACGCACCCATGGGCATCACGGCCTCCAGGGCCAAAGTGAGTACCAAGGTCCTCTCTGGTGAAATGCCCTTGCATTTGTCTTATAAGGCAGGAGGGCAGACACCATTGCCTTTGGTCTACAACTGAGGAAGCAATACAGGGAATCAGGTAACTGCTTCAAGGTGACATGGCCAAGCAAGTGGCAGAGCCAGACCTGGGTCTACGCACCCTCCTCTTCTTGACTGTGCTGGCGCAGGTGCATAGGGTTTGGGGGAAGGTGGGTGGGTAACTGGCCTCTTCTTCAGGACTCAAATTGTGATATATATCTGAGAACCCACAGGTTCCATCTTTAGGGCTGAGTGAGAAGTTCTGAAAGTCAAGCAGACACATCCAGGCACTTGGGCGAGAAACTTCTTCCTTCCAAATCAAAGGTGAAATGAAAACAATTATGAGCCCACGGGGGATGCATAGAGGTGAATCGTGGAGCTAGTCTCAAGGATGGCCTGATTCAGTGTTTCCTAAGTGTCAGCCACTCACGGAACCACCCCTATGATTTTTGCCACCTCTCTGGATCTGTGTTCCCTTTTATGCTATGTTTTTCTTTAAACTGATTCACTTTTTTTTTTTTTGGAGATGGAGTTTCGCTCTTGTTGCCAACGCTGGAGCGCAATGGCACAATCTCAGCTCACTGCAACCTCCACCTCCTGGGTTCAAGCGATTCTCCTGCCTCAGCTTCCCGAGTAGCTGGGACTACAGGCATGTGCCATAACACCTAGCTAATTTTGTATTTTCAGTAGAGACAGGGTTTCTCTATGTTGGTCAGGCTGGTCTTGAACCCCCGACTTCAGGTGTCCCGCCTGTCTCGGCCTCCCAAAGTGCTCGGAACACAGGTGCGAGCCACCTCGCCTGGCCCTGATTCACTTTTTTTAGAAGTTAGCTTTATCCTAGACAGAACATCTGTCAAACTGCAGATCAATATGCTAGTCATACTTTTATATTATATGTTAAATATATAACTACTGAAATAGAAAATATTAACTTGAATGCCACCAGAAATCTTCCTGTGAACCAGAGGTACACACATCAAACATTGGCAAAGAGTGGTACTGGTTTAAGTGTGAGAAAACTGAGGCACAGGAAGGGAGAAGGTGAGTGATTTGCTCACACACAAAGGCTAAGGTGAGCACCAGGGTCTGTGGACCCTCCAGCAGGGTTCTTCATAGGTCACTGAATGCATCCTTTGGTGCACAGACCAGAAATGACTGTGAACGCATCCAAGGCTCATCTGTGAGGCTACCAAGTGGGGGGAACGATCAGTTACTTACTAGCATGTACGTGAAATTGCTTGAGAACCTGAACTCTAGCTGGAATTTCTACCTGGAAAGGGCTGCTGACGCTCTATTTTTGTTATCCAACCTCCCGCCCCCTCTGGCCCCTAAGAGGCACCAGTGACTATGTTTCATCTCACCTTAGCCAAAACCTAGTCTGACGACGCTCCTTTCCAGTGGGCAGGGGTGTGGGGGGATAGCCCTGCTGGGGGCTTCCGGGCTGGCTCTGAAATGCCGACTTCTGCAGAGGAGGCCAAGGTTCCCTGTGCTCGAGGCATGTGGTAGGCATGCGGTTCCTGCCAGCAGGGTGTTCAGGCTGCAGAGGGAGGGGCTGGAGAAAGACTTCAGTCCTGTAACTGTCAGGTCGCTGGGCCCTGGGGCTATAAGAAGAGGTGAGAGCAGCCATTACTCATGCTGTATATTCCTGGACTCCTACTTTGCAGCCAGGACTTCTTCAAAGGCTTGGTTCCCCAGGCATCGTTAACTCCCAACCCCAGTGACTCATGAGTGAGCAGGGCTCTCAGAGCCCTAAAAGGTAACTCAGACAACCTTGGGATATTGTCTCTCCTATAAAAGCATCAGAGCAGCTACCATTTGCTCAGTACCTACTGTGCTGTCTGGCTGTGCTAAGCCCCTTAGAGTCATCTCATTTAATCCTTATGGCAACGTAGTGAGTTAGGTTTTACCACTGCCTTTATTTTTAGAGGTAAAGAAACTGAGGCGCAAAGCCATGGAGTCTAAGTTCAGTGACAGTGGGGGTTAAAACTCAGGTATGGCTGGTAGCGGTGGCTCATGTCTGTAATCTCAGCACTTTGGGAGGCCGAGGCGGGTGGATCACCTGAGGTCAGGAGTTTGAGACCAGCCTGGCCAACATGGCAAAATACTGTCTCTATTAAAAATATAAAAAATTAGCTGAGCATTGTGGTGGGAGCCCGTAATCCCAACTACTCCAGAGGCTGGGGCAGGAGAATTGCTTGAACCTGGGAGGTAGAGGTTGCAGTGAGCAGAGATCGCGCCATTGCTCTCCAGCCTGGGCAACAAGAGTGAAACTCTGTTTCAAAAAAAAACCAACTCAGATTTTTTTGACTGCAAAAGCTGTGCTCTTAGCCACCACCGGGGTTGGAAATGACAAGGAGACCAGAGACTACTGCCACATACTATTCTGTCACAGGGTACTGAGCTTAGGGAAGGGACCTGTTGGCCTGGACTTGGGTCTGTACCTGCAGCCTCCGTGGAAAAGAGGGCTCGCAGCCTCTCCTGGGCGGCCTCATTTCCCAGAGCTGCCGACTGCCGGTAACATCTCAAGGCCTCTCCCAGATTCCTCTGCACACCAAGGCCTCTCTCGTAGCAAATTCCTAAGTGGTACCTGCTCTGTGAGTCCTAAGGGAGAAAATGGACAGACAAACAGATACACACACGCAGGACTGAGGAACTGAAATGCTAAGGCAGGAGGAAAGTAAAGTCAGGCATGCTGGGACTTCATCCATGCAGGGTCAAGGCCGAGCCCTGGCCCGCCCCATAGCAAGGGATCTCAATTATGAACTGCCAGAGGCTCAGAGCTCGCCCAATACAAAGGAGAAGGGGATCCCTCCACCGGGGCAGATTCCAGCCACGGCAGTGTGGAGGCTTATCTTGCACAGGCTGGCTGAAAGCATGTACAAGGAAGGCTATAGGAAACACTCAGCCCAGTTACAGGAAACCTGGGAGTCGGGCTCCTACATTGCCCTGAAACAGCAAGGAGGCAAGGGTGGAGAGTCACCTTCCCAAAAACCCTGTGCCTTCCTGAATCTCTGCCTGGAAGGGCTGACCAGAAAAAGCAATTTTTCTCCTTTAAAAAGCTATGCTCTTTGCCCTGGCTCTGGATCCTTTCTCCTCTCACTGAGAGCTATGCTCAGGATCAGGTAGAGGCCGGGTGTCCAGCTGCACAGCCAGGCTGTCTACGCTTCTGTCACAGCTCTACCACTTCCCAGCTGTGTTAACTCAGGCACATGACTCTACCTCTTGGTGCCTCAGTTTCCTCACCTATAAAATGGGATACTAAAAGCACCTACCTTATTAGGTTGTTGCAAGAATCAAATATGCTATATGAAAAGGGCTTACATGCACTATATGAATCATATTCGCTCTCCCAATTTAAAGAAACAAAACAAAACACTATTGACTTCCAATCGTGGTCCCATTTCCCTTCTACCCACCATGGTCAAATTTCTGGAAGAGTTGTCTACACATTCTGCCCCCACATCTATAACACACAGGGCAAAGTCCCTCCAATAAATACGGCAGACTTATGCCTACAGGCCAGGTCCCAACACAGCATTGGACACATGTAAGGCCAAACCACCACCCCTGCAATGCTGCTCAGTACAAACCCAGGAAGACACAATTCCCTGTGGGGTGGAAAAGTGTTAGGTCTGAGTCCCAAGACAGTGTCACATATAAAATTGTTGACAGATATCCTTTTGTGCACTTTTCCTGCTAGCATGCTGGTCTGATTAAAGCAGGCCAGCATGCCCACAGGCTTGCCCTGCATATGGATATGCAGATCTGCCCAACTTTGAAAGGCTCTGTGGGGCTCTTTCAAGGTAAGGTAGGTACAGCTCTGGATATTGGTTGGTGACATTGGTCCCCTTTTGACAACTACTGCAGATACTTTGGGCAACAGCGTAGACAAGGAAAAGCATTCTGATGCCCAGGAGTTCAATGAAGCTATCAGTGTGTTAGCCAGAAAACAAAGGAAGCAGCAGTCCCCTATGTAGGGACATCATGGTACACACATATATTGCTTGATTTAATCCACGACTCCTAGTCCATCAAGATGCAACTCAAAAGATACACTGGTTAAATACATTTGAGGAATACAGAAAACCACAGATGGCCTTTTCGATGATCTACAGTGACATAAAGCTTTGAGACTTCCAACATTAACAACAACTGTTTAACTCAGTATTTCCCAAACCCACCTAACCATTTTTTTCCTCTCATGACTTATAAACATCCCATGGAACTAATGCTTCATGGAACACATCTCAATTGTCTGAATGCCAGTGCCCCCAGTTCACAGACAACCAGACATGCCCACCCACCCCAGGCTGAGCAGTGTTCGCTGTTTACTGCCTCCACCTGATGTATCTTCTGATTTCCCTGGGTTACCATCACTTGAAATGATGCATTTTTCATGTGTACAGGTTACACAGCATTCTCACACCTGTGATCTCAGTTAGATTTTGATCCTCACAACAACCCTGTGAAATGGTGGACAGGTAAGGCAAACAGTATTATGCTGATTTTAAAGACGAGGAAATAGGTTTCAATCACGAAGTGACCAGGCCCAATAATGTTCTGGTAAATGTTGAACAACTGGGTCTCTAGCAGGGAAAAAGTGCTGCTTCGTGGCATTTAGCAACTTCTGTGGTGCAAATATTCCCACCATCACAGATTTTAAGCTGCACGCAGCTCTCACAGCCTGATGCAAGCCAGCTCCAGCGCACTCCTGCAACTGCCCAAGGGTCACACAGTAAGTCAGCGAGAGCTAAGGCTTGAAGCTAGCCCAAAGCTCCTATCAAACAATCTCCTAAGCACAGAACTCAGTACCAGTTCCAAAATCCCTTCTCTTATCAGGCTTCATCCCCAACATGCTTGCATACTAGAGATCTCATACCCCATTGTTGGCTGCAAGCCAAAGATATTTCACAGCTCTCTGCGCATCCAGGTAGGGCTCCTTGGTGAAAAGCACCCCGAGGAAAGCTTGGGCCTGTGGTCAAGGAGGAAGGAAAAAAAGGCATCTTGGTCAGTTTCAGGCTCCACAGGCCCCAGAGACCTTGGACAGACCCTGCCAATGGTACTCGCCTCTCTCAAGCCCGAGTCTGCAGCCTGCTTCAGCATGGACACTGCCCTCTGCCGCTCAGGGTCCCACAAAGGGGCTGGGTCTCGTAGTAGGCACCTGGCATAGCGGTACTGAGCCAGGTTGTGGCCCTGGCTGGCAGCCAGTTGATAATAAAGGACCGCCTGAGGCAAAGGGAGAAACACCCAGTCAGCTGATAACTCTGTAAGCATCTTTTTCTTTCAGTGAAATTTTTAAAAATTATTTTAATTAAGTAATATATAATAATTATAGAGTAGTCAGAAAATTCAGATAAGCCAGAATTTAAAAATATAAACCAAAAATAGAAACATAAAATCCCAAGAAATTCAGCCTCCTAAAGATCATTCTTGCTTAAAATGTTAGTGTTCAGCCTTACAAATATCTTCCCACATGTGTTATACATACTCACACACATACATTTTAGACATCTATGCATTTGTACACACGTGTGTGTGTGTGTGTGTGTGTATGGGGGGCAAAGAGAGAGAGAGAGACTTAGATCATACTATACTACTTTATAACCTATTTTTTAACTTTAATGATACACCATGAATGTCTTTCCCTGACAATATAGATCTAGCACATCATTTTAAGGCCCAAATAGATGTAATTAACCAGTTTTCTATTGAAGAAAATTTCAGGTTTTTTTTTTTTGCCTTCACATACAACTTTAAGAAATACATTCTTATATATAACCTCTTTGTGTTCTCATCCTACCTTAAAAAAATTAATTAATCCATTCATCAAGTTACTATTTCTAAGCTGAGAATACGCTTGCAAAGAAGAAAGGCAAAATCCCTGCCCTCCCTGATTTTTGAGTCTAAATTCCTGGAAGTTAGCAGCTTCTTTCTTATTTTTCTTTCGCAGCTGGGCTACAACCCAGTGGGGAAAAGAAGCCAAACTTTCCCCCTTCCCTGCCCATTGCTCATTTCTAGACATCGCTCTCAGCAGCCCAGCACAGGGGACGGGCTTGGGGGCAGGGGAATACCTTGCTAATGTCCCTGGGGGTGCCTCTGCCATGCTCATGACACAAGCCCGTGTTGTACTGCGCTTTGCTGTAGCCGCGGGCTGCAGCTTTCTGGAAGTAAGAAAAGGCTGCCTTGTTGTCACCACTCTTCATGTTCTCTGTCCCTATAAGAAGGCACAGGGCACAAACACTCATAGCTTCCTCAGAGAACTTCCCCACACCCTCAGCCAGGTACCTACAGACTCCTCATCTGATCCTCCTCCCTTTCTTTTTTTTTGTGCCAGACACTTTGCATATATTTCTTTCTTTCTTTTTTTTCCGAGACGGAGTCTTGCTCTGTTGCTGAGGCTGGAGTGCAATGGCGCCATCTTGGCTCACTGAAACCTCTGCCTCCTGGGATCAAGCAATTCCCTGCCTCCGCCTCCCAACTAGCTGGGGTTACAGGCGCCTGCCACCACGCCTGGCTAATTTTTGTATTTTTAGGAGAGATGGGGTTTCATCATCTTGGCCAGGCTGTTCTTGAACTCCTGACCTTGTGTTCCACCCACCTCCACCTCCCAAAGTGCTGGGATTACATGTGTGAGCCACCACACCTGGCCTTTTTTTTGTTTTGAGATGGAGTCCAGCTCTGTTGCCCAGGCTGGAGTACAGTGGTGCAATCTTGGCTCACTGCAACCTCCACCTCCTGGGTTCAAGTGATTCTCCTGCCTCAGCCTTCCAAGCAGCTGGGATTACAGGCATGAGCTACTACACTTGGCCCTTTGCATATATTTCCATCCTCCGAATATTTCACTGGTTTGCCACAGCCAGCAACAGGTTCTGCCCTACTATAAATCATTCCTCCTTCTCTTGGTAATAGCATCCAGATTTCCTGTTGGGAACAACCCCTCCCCTAGTGCTGCCAATGTGCTTGCGTTCTTGCCAACCACAGAGATTTTTTCTTAGGAATCTGAACCTTGATCTGGTTGGGACAAGGAAAGAAAACGGTCCTTGCAGGTTTATTCTGACAGCAGCACTCTGAAGATACTGTCTATCAGCGGCTGCCTCTTGGTCTCTGGAGCTTCCCTGATTCCTGTCCTTTCTGAGGCTTGGCAGGTCAATAGATCCCAACAGATTCCTTTTGTGCTTAAGTTAGCCAGAGTGGGTTTAGGTTGTTCATAACCAACAAACCCTAACTGATACAAGTGATACCATTAATCTTGTTTCATGAAGAAATTGGGAGCAGTAATCCAGCAGCATCAAGACCTGAATGCAGGAACGTCCAACTCCAAAGCCCATGTTCTTTTCATTGCCCAAACAAAAAGGAAACAGTAAAGGATCAGGGCACAGCCAGTTCTCAACTCAAAGCCTTTGCTCCATCTGCCCCTCCTGCCTGAGATCTCTTTCCACCTCCACCATCAAAGGTCCCATCCTGTGTCTGCTCTAGAACCTTCAGCCCACACTCAGCCTTTAAACACTTTTTTGGCTCTTACTTAATATACCAAACCTTTTTCTAAACCGTTTCAAAAGTGCAAATCCTGTCTCCTCAATTAGACTGTAAAATCCTGGAGGCAGAGCAGAAAAAGAAATGTAGAAGAAATAACTTTGCCTAGGGTGAAGGCACCATACAAATGCAAAACATGATTATGGCTTATGCTCCTTTTGTGTTCTGCCACTGTGCCAAGCACTTGCTGAATAAATGAATATATGAATGAAGGGATGGGCAAGAAAATTCCAAGAAGAGACTCTTTGCCCATCAAAATCACATAAAGCTAAAGAGGGAGAAACCAGGTTCCATTCAGCCAGCAGTGAATTAAATAAAGTTGCCTCCCTGCTGCCTGAAAACTCACTGTCCCGGGTTGACAGAGCCCTCTGCCCTTGGGGAGAAGATTCAAGAGTGCAAAGGATCCCACTATCATCCTGTTTCCCACCTGGCTCCTTAATATACCCAGATCCATCTACTCTTGTTGCTCTTTCCTTTCTCTAACCTAGATCATGCCACTGACGTGCTTTGTTGAGCTGTCACTAACAGCACCTACCTGGTCTCCTGTTTCCCCTCTAGCAACCCTACAATCCATGTCTGTCTACATAGCAGCCAAAGAGATCTTTGGAAAAGTACATCAGATCATGTGACTGTCCCCTTTCCTGCTCCCGCTTAAAGTCCTCCAAAGACTTCCTGTCTCACTTAGAAAATCCATACTCTACTGTGGCTCAGAAGACCTCACCTGACCTGACTCCTGCCTGCTGTTCTGGCTTCATCTCCTTCCACCCTTCCCAAGATCTCGCAGCTCCAGCCACACTCACCTTTCTTTTGTTCCTTTAGCAAGCAAAATCCAATCCTGCCTCAGGACTTATGCACTTACTGTTCCTGTCACGTGGAAAGCTCTTTCTCCAGACTGAAACACAAGTGGCTGTTTTTGTGACGGCTCTTAGATCAAAGGTCTTCTGCTCAGAGAGGACTTCTAAATCAAAAACTGCTCCTTGCTCAAGTCACTAACACATTCCCTTGTTCTATTTTCTTCATAACATTTATCAGCGTCTGAGATTCTTTTTATTTGTTTCTTAATTATTGTTTTTCTGCTCCCTGAGAATAGGGACTTCTTCTTGCAAATCACTGTATCCCCAGTACCTAAAATAGGACCTAGCAAAAGGTAAATGCTCAATAAATTTGTTGCAAATGAATCCCAGCCTCTTGCCTATCTGCCCACTAGACCTCAATAGGTGCTGTGGGGAGTCTGAGTCTCCACATTAGAAGGCCTGAAACAAGCCAAGTCACTGCAGAGACCAGGACAAATGGTGAAAGGGCATGTGGAGTCCTCAGATGAGGGGAAAATGTTCCTGTTCACACATTGAGAATCTGCTACAAACCTCAGGAGCCTGTTCATTCCTAAGTGTGGCAGAGAATGCTAAGTGCCCTCCAAGATTTATTTTCTCCTTCATACATAGTAACTTGGCAGGATCCTCTATGGCGAGGTGTGGCCATGTGCCTACATTCTGGACAAGGATTTGTGCAACATCTAGATTAAAGGGAAGAAGTGATCCTTTAGCTTCCCTACCTTGCCCCTCCTAGCTGGCTAGAATATGGACAGGCAGGTAGTAGCTGGAATTGCCAAACTCTGCCTCAAGATGGGAGCCAGTTTTAAGAACGCCAGGACACATTTGCATAAGAATGGGTCCCTGCCATCACTGAGCCACCATGCCAGATTTGGTCTACCTACCTGGGAAAACATAAAATCTCTCTTGTTTAAGCCGCTCTCTATCCTGACTCTATCTGACCCACCCCATACCCTTTTCATTTTCCCACCCTCCTGCCTTGATGCAGGGTCCATTTGGTTACCCAGGAAGTTGAAAGCGATGGAAACACTGAGCTGGAAGAGCTGCTGCATGGAAGTCACAGCCTCCTCGAGGGAAAGAGTTTTTGATTTATCTTGTTCCTGGGGAAGAAACATAAAGACTCATCAAGGGATGGTTCACTGGGATTGCCACCTGCCCAACAGAATGTTACGGGGATCCAGGTGGCCAAATCTAGATAATACCTGTTCACCAGCGTGCTGAGGCTGGGCTGGTTTTGCCTTGGACTTGATGCTGCTACTGGCATGCAGGAAGCCAAAATCACTGGGACCTGCAAGGGAAAGGCCGACACCCGGCCAGGGCAAAGGAGAAAGTTGTACTTCTTTTCTCCATCTCTCCCAGACTACCCAGGCTTTCCATCCAGCACCCTTGCCAGGAACTGAAATAACCCTCAATCACCTCACAAGGCATGGGACCTCACAGGAGTGCCAATTCCCTTCTCTGGGAATATGCATCAACCAACGTCCATCTGTCCAGCTCCCCACCACCACCAATCTCTGCCTTCTGCCAATTCCATGAGGAAGGGACATACCTTCCTCAGAGGAGGGGTCCTGAGGACGAGCTGCTCTCAAGGAGTTGTATGAGGAGGGGTTCTGGGGCTGAGCTGAGGCTTCTTCCTGGCCAAGCCTGGGTTCTCTGAGGCCAGCGTGCCTGGGAGCTGGGCCATCAGGGCTGGGGAGGATGTGCTGCCGCAGTGCTGCAAAGAGCCAGCAAGAGTGGTCAGGTCAGAGCCGTGTGCACTGGCTCACACCTATAATCCCAGCACTTTGGGAGGCTGAGGTGCGTGGATCACCTGAGGTCAGGAGCTCAAGACCAGCCTGGCCAACATGGTGAAACCCCATCTGTACTAAAAATACAAAAATTAGTGGGGTGCAGTGGCATACGCCTGTCTATAATCCCAGCTACTTGGGAGGCTGAGGCAGGAGAACTGCTTGAACCCAGGAGGTGGAGGTTGCAGTGAGCCAAGATCGCGCCATTGTAGTCCAGCCCAGGTGACAGAGCAAGACTCTGTCTCAAAGAAAAAAACAAAACAAAACAAAAACACATGGTCAGGTCAGAAAAGGATCAGTGCAGGCTGCTTGGGCTTGACTGAGTCCTCCCTAAGGTTTTAGAGGCCATAGGAAGAATTTGGAAACTCCTGTGACACTTCCTTCATACTCCTCCTTCTCTGCTTCCTTGGCTTCCTTCCACAGGAGTCTAGAGGGGCCTGTATTTGTGCTGATCTCCCACCCTAAGCATCAATCACTCCTCTGCTTGAATTCTTCAGTGGCAGGGAGGCATCTACCTTACTCACTGTTGTAGCCCCAGTACCTAGCACCTTCTTTGATGGTAATATTGCTAATGATTATCATCACAATAAAGACAAGAACTAATGCTTAAACTAATAATTACTACGCATTTACTATGTGTCAGGCACTGCCCTAAGTCCTTGATATGTATTAACTCATTTAGTCCTCTCAGTAAACCTATAGGGTGGGCTTTATTATTACCCCATTTTATAGATGAAGAAACTAAGGCAGAAGGAAGTTAAAAGTGACTTGTTCGGGGACATAAGACTAGTGTGCAGCCTGGCACAGTGGCTCACACCTATAATCCCAGCACTTTGGGAGGCCAAGGTGGGTGGATCTCAAACTGAGGTCAGGAGTTCGAGACCAGCTTGGCCAACATGGTGAAATCCTGTCTCTACTAAAAACATAAAATTAGCTGGGGATGGTGGCAGATGCCTGTAGTTCCTGCTACTCGAGAGGGTAACGCAGGACAGTCACTTGAACCTGGGAGGCGGAGGTTGCAGTGAGCCGGGACTGTGCCACTGTACTCCAGCCTGGGTGACAGAGTGAGACTCTGTCTCAAAAAAAAAAAAAAAAAAAAGACTAGTATGCAGCAGTTTTGGGACTTGAACCTTTATAATCTGACTCTAAAGCTTCAAACACTAGGCTATGTTGCCTCTGTACCATGGCACATAATAGGTGCTCAATAAAGATTCATTTATTCATGAATGACTGAGTGACTGACCAGAGAATAACCTAACTGGTTGAATGTGGGACAGGAAACCACACCCAGAATTGAAAGTGGTCTGGACCTGTGGGGCTCCCTCAGTTGGAAGTGATGGGAGGAAATGGAAAGACACTGAGGGGCAGGCGTGGCCCACACCCTGGGTGGATAGAACTTCCCCAATTTCTCTTCCTCTGACTTCAGATAGGAAAGGCAAGGAGCTGCTGACAGCTCTTTTCCTGAGGTGTGTCCAGAGATACTTCCTGGCCCAGAGAAACTCCCAGCCCAGCCCTCCTGTCCCCAGGACTGACAACTCACAGGAGCATGGGTGCCACAGGGGAGATGAAAGGAAACGGCCCAGGGGACTGTGCCAGGAGCAGTGTTCCACTCGGCGAGGTCCTGCTGGCAGGGATGCATGGAAGTGGATCTGCCTTGCCAGCTGCAGGGCCAGCACGGCCAGAGTGCCCTGGGAGAGACAGCACATTAAGGACATGGTCGTTCGCCAGTCAACTCCGTCAGACTCAGCCTTACACTCAAACACCACTTCCTCAGGAAATCCAGGGGGGCATCTCCTCTGCTACAGACTTTCACAGCACCAGAACTTCTCTGGAGCCCTGACCACAATGGCATTTAAACAATCATCTCTAGAATTATTTATCTAAGGTCTGTCTCTCCTGTTAGTCTATAAGCACAACATGGGCAGGGACCGTGTATGTTTTACTCATCAATGTATCTCTGGTGCCCAAGTACAGCACAGTGTGCTAAGATACAGTAGGGATGAGATACAAGTACAAATTGAATAAGCGGAATAAGTGCTTGACCGAGTAACTAAATAAGCAAAGACTACGCCAGCAAAAAGATAATGGGGTAGGCTGGGCATGGTGGCTCACACCTGTAATCCCAACACTCTGGGAAACCAAGGTGGGTGGATCACCTGAGGTCAGGAGTTTGAGCCCAGCCTGACCAATATCGTAAAACCCTGTCTCTGTTAAAAAATACAAAAAATTAGCCAGGCGTGGTGGCGGGCGCCTGTAATCCCAGCTACTCAGGAGGCTGAGGCAGAAGAATCGCTTGAATCCATTAGGTGGATGTTGCAGTGAGCAGAGATTGATTGCACTATTGTACTCTAGCCTAGGTGACAGTGAGACTCCATATGAAAAAAAAAAAAAAAGATAATGGGGTAGGTTGGCACCTAGTTGCAAATATAGCAACAGGTCAGAGTTCCCGTTAGGCTCTCTTTCCAGTCCTGTACAACCCCTCCTTCTACCAGCTCCCATTACCCCAATCAATCACCCCAGCACACACACATCTCCAGGTGTAAGCTTTGTAAAGATGTTTCTTCTCTCACAGGTCTGCAGGAGACCTGAGCTAGCTCTTATCCCAGAGACTGCTTAGTTTACCCTGTCCCTCTTTGTGTTATGCTTAAGAAGGTTGACCCAGTGTCGGGCACAGTGGCTCATGCCTTTAATCCCAGCACTTTGGGAGGCTGAGGCAGGCAGATCACTTGAGGCCAAGAGTTCAAGATTGGCCAACATGGAGAAGCTCTATGTTGAAAGTAGAAGGTTAAAAACTCTACTAAAAATACAAGAATTAGCCAGGCATGGTGGCACACGTCTGTAATCCCAGCTACTCAGGAGTCTGACGCATGAAAATTGCCTGAACCTGGGAGGTAGAGGTTGCAGTGAGCCAAGACTGTGCACTGTACTCCTAAAAAAACACAAAGGTCCACCAAGGTACTTGTTGCAACAGGCACTGCATACAATAGCAAGTAAGACAGACATAGTTTCTGCCCTCATGAAGTTTATATCTTGTGTTTAAAAAGAAAAAACACAAGTACAGAGAGAAATAAATGCAACAACTACTACTGATGCTAAATGCCAAGAAGGAAACAAATCGGAGTTACGCAGAGCATAAGAGGGGTTGTGACAAGACAAGGAGTCAGGGAGAGCCTCTCTGTGGAGGTGATTTGTGAGCTAAAGCCAGAAGAAAAGGTACCAGTACTGTGAAGAACAGAGACACGTATCTGTGGCACTGGGGACAGCTTGTGTGCAGACCCTTTCATATGAACAGTAGTGTCAGAGCACAGGGAGGCATTAGGACTTCTGGAATCCAGGCCCTCTTCCTACTTCTTACTGTGGGACAGCCTTAGAGCTCAGATCATCTTTGGCAATATGGGAAAATGTTCCTCCCTTCGGGGTATGATATGACCTTAGTCCACAGGTCCCCAGAGAGAGGTAACCCTGTCGTGGAGACATCCGAGGCTCAGCTGTGCTGATGACACCAATTTACAGATGAGAAAGCCAAGGCTCACAGAGGTCAAGTCATTTGTCCAAAGTACACAGCATGAAAGCAGCAGGGATAGGCTGTGACAGACATGAGAGCGATATGTGTGTCAACTTCATTCAGAAGATCTTATAAGCAGAACTTTTACCTAGAATTTTGCCTGAAAAGCAAAAGATTCTGCCCTATGAGACTTAGTGTTCATTACTAAGAATCTGACCTTATAGATCAGATTCAACGAATATTTACTGAACAACTATTATGGGCTAGGCTCTGTATTAGATACAGCAACCAAGCAGTAGAACATGAACTCCAGAGTTAAATCTGGCTCCTCCGCTTAATAGGTGTGAGTCTCTAAGCATGTTACCTAATATTTCAAAGACTGAGTTTCCTCATCTGTAAAATGAAGGTGATATTTCCTTTGTAAGATTTTTGTAAGGATTATACAAGATAATGCAATGTATAATACTTTACATTAATAAATAATGCTATGTATTATTATTTATTGTAAGATCCATGAAAGCAAGAATGTATCTATCTTGTTCTCTGCTATGTCCCTAGTACCTAGCAAAAATGCCTGGCCCAGAGAAGGTGTTAAATAAATGTTTACTGAATGAAATGAGGAAAACATACATGGTGGGCTGGGGGAAATGGCAATATCTCCTTGAATATGCTCCAATGCCATGGGTTACTTGTTAAATGGACACAGTTATTCCCTAGCCCTCGTTTTCAGGTTAAGACTATACACCTATGCAGGATCATTCTCATCTACATTGAAGGCCAAGGACAGGACTGGGGATACCTTACCCATGATATGGCATCCCGTAGGGTGTTCGGGGAGACACGGGCAGACATCCACTGGAAGGCATCCTTCCATCCATGGGACCTTGGGCCCCTGCTCCTGCCTGGGCCTTGGGGACCCGACCTAGATGATGCAATAAGAGGCTGTCAAATTCTCTACAAAGTAGGACCAAAGGGAGACCAGGGGAGGAAATGAGTGGCAATATGGCAGTATCTTACCTGTCAAGGTTAGGCACAGGAACCAGCAAGGTGGAGGAGGTAGTCTGAGGCCCATCTGGGCTGGTGAACTTGGGAGTCACCCTCCAGAGGCTAGGTCCCAGCGTACGGGGAAGAGCTACAAAGAACAACCAAAACTCAGATATCTCAACAAAAACCCAGGAATCACTGTCATCTGCCTCAGCAGAGGTTTTTAAACACGGATACACATGAGAATCTTTTATCTACTACAAATTCTAGCACCAGAACCAATTGGTTCTAGAACCCCAGAACCAATAAACTAAGATATCTCAGAGTAAAGCATCCACTTTTTAAAAAACGTCCATGTGGGCCGGGCACGGTGGCTCACACTTGTAATCCCAGCACTTTGGGAGGCCGAGGCGGGTGGATCACGAGGTCAAGAGATCGAGACCATCCTGGTCAACATGGTGAAACCCCATCTCTACTAAAACTACAAAACATTAGCTGGGCATGGTGGTGCGTGCCTGTAATCCCAGCTACTCAGGAGGCTGTGGCAGGAGAATTGCTTGAACCCAGGAGGCGGAGGTTGCGGTGAGCCGAGATCGCGCCATTGCACTCCAGCCTGGGTAACAAGAGCGAAACTCCGTCTCAAAAAAAAAAAAAACAAAAAGCAAAAAAAAAAAACGTCCATGTGATTTTGCTGCTCTCCCGTGGCTGCCAACCACTGTTGTAAGATGACTAGACGTTTATACACATACTCTCAATAATGTTTGGGGCGCTTTGTCTCTAAACCTCTCCTCTCTCCACTGGCTATGCCTACTCCATTGGCCCCTAATCGTCTGTAATTCCTCCATCCCCTGCCATTGGACTCCTCCCCCTCCCAATAGTCCCACCCATCTCCTTGGACTCCACCCTCTTCTCGCTAGGCCCACCCACATCTCAAATTCCAACAGCCCTTGACTTCCCCGCCCCCTTTCAGGCCCCGCCTTCCATAGCTCTAACCCCGCCCCCAATCGCTTTCGCTGTTTACTCTGGCCAGCAACCAATTCAGTTGGATCTCCTCGGCCACGAGTGGTGCTCGCTGCTCGGACGCCCCTTACCTCGGCCCAGAAGTCCCGGGAGGCGCCACATGTCGCTGCCGGCACCATAAAGAGCTCGCAGCCGAAAGGGCGAGACCGAACGTCGGGACAGCGGCTAGAGAGGCCGCCGCGTTGCCCCCGAGTGGCCAAGTCCCCGAGGAAGTTCTGAGCCGGCCAATTAGAGGGGAGCCTGGCCGGAAAGACTGCGCTGCGGAGAGGAAGTGCAGGGAGGAGGCGTATTCCGGGCCAGCGTGGAGGTGACGTGCGGCAAGGGCATGGGGATGTGGGCCCAGCCTTCCGTGGGGGAGGTCCTTGGCGTTGCCACGCACAGGCTGGAGACTGCAGGTGGCAAAGCGAGCCGCTCGGAAGCTTGACCGTTGAGAAGCGGGGCTGGAGCGGCTTCGGGGGGGCAAGAGGACCTTGCAGACGCTGAGGCCGCGAACGAGGAAAGGCTTTCCCAGGCCCTAGGCTTGAGGAGATGGGAGTAACCAAGCTCCGTGGCAGAGGAGAGGAGCCCCGGGGTCCAACAAAAGAAGCCAGTAGGCCGAGCTTCCATCCAAGGCCACCTGCCTGGAGATGCCAGGGCAGGGCCCAACTGCATAGGTGACGAGAAACCGCGCAGGGCAAGGCTTTGATTCTAGCTTCTAGCTCCGGCCCAGCTTTGTCTCACTGTGCAGCTTCATGCCAACCCCTTACCTTGTCTGGGCCCCAATCCGCGCCAAATAGGGTCAGATGGAATGATTGGCCTGACAGACTGGGATTCTTGGGTAGCTCCTTTCAAAATACCTGAGACACCTCCGCGCCCTGTTAGAACCCCGGTCTTCAGACGTGGCAGATGTTATCTGTGTGTTTGTTCTTTTGTGGAAAAGAATAGTCCCTCTTTCACCAGACTTGAATCCTTGAAATAACGGAGCTCACATTCAAGTGTAAGGTGTTTAGATTTTCTCCCTATCCCCTTCCTCCGGGTATGTGACTTTAAGATGGGTGGAATTCTCTAGCTGGGGTAAAAGTGTACCGGGGACACCTGCTTTTAGACCCAGGCATATGGCCTGAAAGTTGTATCAATTTGCTAAACAACTTTTTATTTGGATACGGATACTAGCTCTGTCGTCCAGGCTGGAATGCAATGGTGCGATCTTGGCTCCCTGCAACCTCCACCTACCGAGTTCAAGCGATTCTCTTGCCTCAGCCTCCGGAGTAGCTGGGGTTACAGGCGCCCACTACCACACCCAGCTAATTTTTGTATTTTTAATAGAGACAGGGTTTCACCATGTTGGCCAGGCTGGTCTCAAACTCCTGACCTCAGGTGATCCACCCGCCTCAGCCTCCCAAAGTGCTGGGATTACAGGCTTGAGCCACCGTGCCTGGCCATTAAACAACTTTTGAGCCATATATCAGCCCGTCCTAGGATCTGAGAAGACAGATGAGGAAAGAGCATTTGTGGCTTCCAGGAACATGTCCAGTGGATTAAGAGTGGGCTTTGAGGCCGGGCGCGGTGGCTCACGCTTGTAATCCCAGCACTTTGGGAGGCCGAGGCGGGTGGATCACGAGGTCAAGAGATCGAGACCATCCTGGTCAACATGGTGAAACCCCGTCTCTACTAAAAACTACAAAACATTAGCTGGGCATGGTGGCGCGTGCCTGTAATCCCAGCTACTCAGGAGGCTGAGGCAGGAGAATTGCTTGAACCCAGGAGGCGGAGGTTGCGGTGAGCCGAGATCGCGCCATTGCACTCCAGCCTGGGTAACAAGAGCGAAACTCCGTCTCCAAAAAAAAAAAAAAAAAAAAAGAGTGGGCTTTGGAGTCCCACAAATCTAGGTTGGAATCACAGCTTGCTTACTCTCTAGCTATGTTATCTTGTGCAGGTTCCTTAACACTAAGTCTCAGGAGCTTCATCCATAAAATAGGGAAAATAATGCCTCATGTAATTGTTGTGAGGTTTCAATAAAATAATACATTAAAAATGTTTAGCATGGGCCGGGTGCGGTGGCTTGCTGTAATCCCAGCACTTTGGGAGGCAGAGGCGGGCGGATCACGTGGTCAGGAGATCAAGACTATCCTGGCCAACATGGTGAAACCGTGTCTCTACTAAAATATAAAAAATTAGCTGGGTGTGGTGGCATGCACCTGCAGTCCCAGCTATTCGGGAGGCTGAGGCAGAGGAATCGCTTAAACCCGGAAGGCAGAGGTTGCAGTGAGCCAAGATCAGGCCACTGCACTCCAGCCTAACAGCAGAGCAAGACTCCATCTCAGAAAAAAAAGTTTAGCTTGGTGTTTCAGGAATACCCTTCAAAAAATAAATAAATAAAAATGTTTAGCATAATAAAAGCCCAGTAAGTGTTTTAAGTTGCTGTTAATTATAGTAGTAGGGGAGGTAAGTAGGCAAGTGTAATAGATTATGGTCCCATGGAAACATGAGCAATGGGTTGTGGGATCCCTTCGAAGGCTTCAGAAAAATAGTTGCATTTGAGCAGGACCTTTAAATATGAGTAAGGGCTTGCCAGGTGGAGAAGGAAGAAAGGCATTGCAAGCAGAGGAAACCATAAATAAAGGCCTGGAAGTTTGATATTCAGAAATAGCCTTGCTTTGGGATTTGGGACAGCCACCTTTCACATTCCTTGTGTGGCGGCCCCCAAAATAATGTAACAAACAAGTATGCTGGTTTGGCTTTGCTCTTCCTCCTGGATCTTTTGTACCCTCCTTCCTTTCAGACTATCCATAGTTTGTGTCATTTCTCAAGTCTTAGCCCAATCCCAGCTCTTCAGTATAGACTCAACTGTTTCAGCCCTCCCTGCTCCCTTTTTTTGCCAATTCCTATAGCACTTAATTTCTTACTACACAGTTTAGCAGTAATTATATGCTATCGTGATATTTATCTCATGTTTGTAACTACCCTTCCCAGTGTTCTCCCTCAGGGCAGGAATAGCATTTTCCTGTTTTGTGTCCCATATAGAGCTTGATATAAATTGTCAGCCCAAAGAATATATCCAAACAATGCCTATTGACAGAATACCATGTATTAATGATTATTACAGCCAAGGGTACCAGACCCCAGTCTGGGGATTTGCTGATTTGAGTGGAAATGTATTCATTGCACATACAGACATTCATTGAGGGCTCTCCCTGTTTGAAGCTAGATGAAAAGTTTTGAAGGAGAGAATAGGACATCTGTCCCCATGTATAGAATAACATGGCATCTCTTGTCCCCATAAACGGGAACATCAGCAGATGACTTGTGTGAAGGTGGATGGTGAGGGTGGCTGGAGCCCACAGCAGATCACCTGTTCAGTGCAGCTCACGAGAGCACTGTGGGAAATGGCAGCTGCTTCAACTGCCAGGCCTCAAGCCATCAGCCTTTCTTTTCTGCTCCCAAACTCTATGGTGTTGGATTGTGGTTTAGTCCCTCTATGCAGTCCCTCAAGTTGACTCAATCCCTCCACAAAGGTAAGCTGTGTGTCTGACATTGGGAACCTATTGTCCGCTGTCCATTTAATCACCTTTCATGATGACCACACATGCCATTGTGTACTTTGTGTACTCTCACCACGGCGAGTGTTCTAGATACTTGTTGCCTTCATTTTTGTAGGCATTCTTAAAATGCAGTAATCAAATATATGAGAGCTTATTTAGTGCTAAGAGATATCCTAAGCATATAACAATTTTAAAACATGGATGTGGGCTGGGGGCAGTGGCTCACACCTGTAATCCCAGCACTTTGGGAAACTGAGGTGGGCAGATCACGAGGTCAGGAGTTTGAGACCAGCCTGGCCAACATAGTGAAACCCCGTCTCTACTAAAAAACAAAAAATTAGCCGAGTGTGGTGGTGTGCACCTGTAATCGCAGCTACTTGGAAGGCTGAGGCAGGAGAATCGCTTGAACCCAGGAGGCAGAGGGTGCAGTGAGCCAAGATCACACCATTGCACTCCAGCCTGGGTGACAGAGCAAGACTCTGTCTCGAGAAAAACAAAAACAAACCGTGGACGTGGTTGGTCCCTGCTCTCACAGAAAATAGCCTAGGAGGGCAAACAAAGTAGGCAATTAAAATACAGAGTGATATTTTAGTTACTTATTGCAGCATAACAAACACGCCAAAATTTAGTGGCTTAAAACAATCATTATTTTCCACAGTTTTGCAAATTGACTGGGCTCAGCTGGGCAATTCTGCTGGTCTCACTTGGGGTCTCTCATGAGGTTGTAGTCAGATGGCAGCTGGAACTGTAGTCATATGAAGACTCAAGTAGGGCACTGGAAAGGCTTGGCCTCTTTCTCCATGTAGTCTCAGGGCCCCTTTGCTCCACATGTCCTCTCCAGCTGGGTGGCTGAACTTCTTACACAGTTGCTTAGAGCTTCCAAAATTACACAAGTGGAAGCTGGCGGAACTGGCATATCATCCCTTCTGCACTCTGTTGGTTAAAGCAATTCACAGGGTCAGCCTGGAATCAGTGTGGGAGGGGAAAACGCAAGGTCACGAATACTAGGAAGTAGACTTTGGAGGTGAGCAAGTGCTATGGGAACACCCAGGGGAGACCCATAACCTAGGCATGGAAGTCAGGAAGACTTCCTGGAAGCAGCAATGCTAAACTAACCTGAATGATGAGGCCTGGGAACTAACCAGGAGAAGGAAAGGAAAAGAAAGCCCAGTTCGGGCTGGGGACACAGCTGATACAAAGATCAGGGAGGAAAAGAAAGCACAATTTAAGATCAGTGCAGCTGGAGCTGGGAGGGAGGCAGGGAGTGATGGTGATGGGGTAGTGATAGGCCTTTAGTACGGAGAGGTAAAGGGAGCAAGGTCATAACACCTTGTAAGCCCTCAAGATGTTTGGACTCTGTCCTGAAGGTGTGGGACCCCTAGTAAGGGTTTTGGCAGGGGAGTGACCAGGCCACAGGGATCTAAGAAAGGCTGTTGACTGCTGTGTGGGGATGGATTAGAGGGGGTCAATCCCTCATTTTCACCCTGTCCCCTCTAGGCTAGTGACCTCACTTTCTGCACTGAAAAACCTGAGTCATCACATCTCCTCAGAACTGATACTAGCTCTTTTTGCTTTTGCTTTCTATTAGTGGAGATTATATATATATATACATGTGTATATATTGAGATGGAGCCTTGCTCTGTCACCCAGGCTGGAGCGTAGTGGTGCAATCTTGGCTCATGGTAACCTCCGCCTCCTGGGTTCAAGCAGTTCTTCTGCCTCAGCCTCCTGAGTAGTTGGGATCACAGGCCTGTGCCACCACACCTGGCTAATTTTTGTATTTTTAGTAGAGATGGAGTTTTGCCATGTTGGCCAGGCTAGTCTCAGACTCCTGACCTCAGGAGCAGAGGTCTGATCAAAGTGTTGAGATTACAGACGTGAGCCACCCAGCTGGGATTTTTATTATAAAAGAGTGCAAATGGCTGGATGTGGTGGTTCATGCCTGTAATCCCAGCACTTTGGGAGGCTGAGGCAGGCAGATCACTTGAGATCAGGAGTTTGAGACCAGCCTGGCCAACATAGCAAAACCCCGTCTCTACTAAAAATACAAAAATTAGCCAGGTGTGGTGATAGATGCCTGTAATCCCAGCTACTTGGGAGGCTGAGGCAGGAGAATAGCTTGAATCCAGGAGGTGAAGGCAATGAGCCAAGATCGTTCCACAGACTCTAGCCTGAGTGACAGAGCAAGACTCTGTCTCAAAAAAAAAAAAAAAAAAAAAAAAAAAAAGGGCAAATGTGTTTATACAAATATTTTTGTTTTGTTTAATTTCTTTTTAAAGAACGTATCAGAAAACCTACCTGGTAGGAATCTGGATGTGGGGTTGGTCAGAGGTCAATTTATACTTAAGAGTGACGTATATTAAGGAAGAGCCCACTGGCACAGAGTATAGAGCAAGCCAAGCTCAGTGGATTTGACCCCCCAGATAAATTATGGCTGTTGAAAAGCTCCTACTCTAGTAAAAAGTCAAATAATACTAAAGGCTTATATCAAAAGACAGCAGACCTCTGCCACACGCTCTCTACCCTCTAATCCTACTCTCTAGAGGCAATTATTCTGAACTCCGTGAAGTGTCAGGAAGCAGCGCAGGAGAGCGGGGATTCTAGAACTGAATTGTCTAACATCCAACACAGCTGTCTCCCTTATCAGCTGGGTTACCTTGGTCAAGGTCATTATAATATCTTTTCCCTCAGTTTCTTCGTCTGTATGATGGGAATGATAATTGTACTCTTCTATTGAGATGACACAGTTAAACTGCTGGGCACACGGTCTATAAATGGTAGCTATATATGATGATGACGAAGAAAAATCTAACTTGAGAGCAGCTGTGAGTACACTTGGACGTTAGCTGCACACTGAACAAATAAATATAAGGCGTGTTTATGATTTGGCGGAAATGACAAGAACACAGACTCAGTTGGAGAGGTCTGTCTCTTCCCTTTGTTCTAAGGCTAAACTCTGTGTTTGTTCTCAGTCCCAGTCCCTTCCTGTCCCTTTTAGAACCTTGTCTCTATAATTATCCTGACCCTCATGCCAAAACATACATCTTCCTCCTACCTTTTTTCTTTCTGCCTGTGAAATATGTACAGGCCTTTCCAATCTTGGGGGAAAAATCCTTTATTTGATCCTCCTGCCCTTTTCAGCTACCATTGTGTTTCTTTCTCCCTACTGCCAGATTTCTTAATTAAGTAAAACACATGCTGCCTCCCATTTCTGCATGACTCCTTCACTTTTCAGCCTTGTCTCCCAGCTTCCATCCCTGTTCTTCTGAAATAGGGGTCACTAGCGTCATCAAAGACCACCTCATTAACTACCAGTGGACCTTTGCTCAGTCAGACTCTTGACCCAGAGCACTTGACTCAGTTGGCCATCCATGCCCTAAATCTTACACACAAAACCTCATTGTCCACTTCCGTTTTTCTGGCTACTGTGTACTTTCCCCAAGCCACCCAGGAAAGGAATCTTGAACTCATTGTTGGCTCAACTCTTCCTTCTCTGCCCTCCCCCATACTAGTTTTCTTTTTCTTTTTTTCCTCTGGTTAAGGTTTTCTCACGATCCCACACTAGTTTTGACTGTTTCTGCAAGTATTAGAAATTCACTGAAGCTAGATTTTGAAGAAGTTTTATCAGGGTATGGAAGAGTGGCCAGGACATCTAATGGATCCCATGGGCAGGAGACAGCTGGGACCCAGAAAAGACCAGAATTATAGACTCAGGAGGCAACAAAGTGAGCCCTTTCTCCCTGGCTTTCTTTCTGGGTTTCTCATGATCTGTCCAGATACCCCAAAGGGGTCAGACACTTCCATACCCAGCTAGTCACTGGGTCCTGTGAAAATTGCCTTCTTTTGCATCAGGCCCTTACAACTGTCTCCTCTCCAGCTTCCCTGGTCCTACGTCTCTCGTTTGTTTATCTCCTAACCATTCTCCTGTATCTGGCAGTGCTGCTTCTTCCTTCTGACCCCTAGTACCAGCATCATCCACATGTCCATTCTTTCCCTGTTGCTCTTAAGCTCCCTCTGTGCTGTTGACTCTTAAATGAGACTACAGTGGTTAAGAGCTTGGGTTCTGGAATCCTAATAATCCTGGTTTGAATCCTCCACCACTTTCTTGGGTGTGTGAACTTTGGAAAGTTACTTGAATTTTTTGAGCCTCACTTCCTTATCTGTGAAATGGAGCACATGTAAAGCTTAGTTAGCACAGTGCCTGGCACACGGAGCCCAAAATAGTAACAATCATTAGCCTTACCTTTGCCCTCTTTCCTGAGTTCCAGTCCAGGCCTCCACAACCTGCTAGGTTTATCCATTAGATGTCCTGCTGTGACCTCAGATCCACCTGTCGGAATTCCCCAGATGCTGGTGGAGGATGCAGCTTTCTGACAGCTGGAGGGCAGGGAGATGTGAAAAAGGCAGGTGGTCTCACCAAATTCTCAAAGGAACCCCACACCCGACCTCGCCAGGCCTCAGCAGAGAAGGCTCTGAAGAACAACTCTCCCAGAAGCCTCCAAGCCCCGTGCTGACTGACTCTTTTAAGTTCTATGAGGGCAAGCAGAGCTGCCATTATGAGGGCAAATGGAGGATGTGAATTCAACCTTTAAAAAAAGCCCCAGGTGGTGAGAGGAAGTGTAGCAGGATCAGTGGAGCTTGGAAGTGGGTGAGAATGGTGAGAGCAACACCCTCAGGGCGTTGAGCTGGGTTTAGGCTGGGGCCTCCCTCAAGCACTGGGGATTTGGCAGCAGGGAAGCCAGAGATGCTCCTGTTTTTAGCTGAGCTATTGCAGGTCCCCTTTGCCGCCCTTGTGAACATTCCTCATTAAGCGCCACGTGTGAAACAGGATGGTTGCTTTCCCCGCCCCTCCTCCCGGCTCTCCCTACCTCCTCTCTGCTCCTGGGTGGTGGCAGGTGGCAGTCCTACTGGCAGGAACCCAGGAGGGGCAGGGCTGCACTCTACCCAGCACAGAACTGGAGTCATGAAGATGGGAGATGGGTAATCTCACAGTGGTTTTCTCAAGGCAGCGTGACCAAGTAGTTCAGAGCTCTGGCTCTGAATCAGAATGTGTGTGCGCCTGTTTGAATCGTGCTTCTGCGTTTACTCTTTTTGTGATACTAGGCAAGCTGTTTAAATTCTTTATGTCTCATCTGTATAATGGGGATGATAATAGGCCTCTCTAATCGTTGTGAGTTTTAGTTAGATAATGCAAGTAGAGCACTCGGCTTAGTCCTTCTATGCAACTTGGAGCCAAGGATTCTGTCCTTGTAGGAACGACCACCCCCATTGCTGTCTTTGTCTTCTGTTCACATATCCATCTCTGCCTTTGAACTACAAGCTCCATTAAGTCAGAGACTGAATTGTATGAATCTGTGTCTCTGGTGCCCAACACAGGACCTAGCATATAGATCTTAATAAATGAATGTTTACTCTTGGAAGGAACTGGTGGAACAATGTAGAAGACCCAGGATTCCCTCTGGCCTGAATCCCACCATCCACTCTGGGTCATTTACCACAAACGGAGAGCCCAGGCCAGTCACTGTCTGGGGGCTTGAGGATACAGCCACAAATGCAATAGGCTGGGCTCCTGGCTTCATGCAGTGAATTGTCCAGGGGGTGATGGGCAGGAAACATAACAAAACTGATGCTACATTTCAATTAGGAAGGTTGCTAGGAAGGAGAAGCTGGGCTGCTAGGAGAGCATAGTGCAGAGAAACTATATTTTGGGCAGAAAGGAATCAGGAATAGTTTCCTAGACAATGTGACAAGTAACTGAGGCCCAAAGAAAGGGCAGGCTGGGTTGAAGAAAAGGTGAGAAGGAGCCATCCAGGCAGAGGGAAGAGCAGATGCAAAGGTCCTGAGGCAGATAGGAACTAGGCTACTGGGTGGAAGTCAAGGTTAATGCAGCTGTAACCCAGTGATGGAAGGGGTCAGTGACCTCTCCAAGGCTGCAGAGCTAGGAGCACGGGTTATAAGAGCCTTGTGGGCTATGATGAGAATTTGAGCCTTTATCCCTGATGACTATTTTTAATGGGCTTCATTCTAATAGCTAACATTTATTAAATTTTATGTATATGTGCACTGTGTTAAATATTTCGCATCTTTTCTCATTTACTTTTCACAGCTTCCCCATGAGACTGGTGCTATTATTCCCATTTTACAGATGATGAGATGAGACGCTGGCTCTGGGAGGTACATTTGTTCAAGGTCACTTACTTGGCGGTAGCAGAGTTGATCTGGACCCAGATATCAGGATCCAATCCCTGCTCCTTTAGGCCCCGCGTGGCCCAGCTTAAGAGCGAAGTGTGAACTTGGATCTGCACTACACATTCCTCAAGGCCTAGGGTTCCTCTTTCGCAGCCTCCCTTTCCCCCCATTAGGGAAGGCAGGCACAGGTTCGCCCTGACCAGAGGAGCGCCCAGGCGGCAGGCTTGACTGCCTGCGGAGGCGGCCCCAGGATTGCCCGGGCCGCACCCACGTGACTGCCTCGCGGCTGGGACGCTAAGCACCGCCGCAGTGCGGTGGGCGCAGGCGTGTGCGCGCTCCTGCTGCTGCCGCGGCTGTGAAATCTGGAGGGAACCGACCCCGAACAGCGGCCGGGGACCTGGGAGGGAGGGCGCCACTCCGCGCCCGGCAGGGGGCTCTCTCTCCCCGCAATCCCAGGGCTAAGCCCGCAGCCCCGCTGCCTGCATCACGTTCCCTCCAGCCTTGGGGGTTTCGAAAGCAGCGTTCATTTCTGATTAAAAATGACTATTTTTAATGGGCTTCATTCTTTATTTCTTGCTGTCCTCTCCCAGGGCCAGAAAGAGGCGGAAAGCGACACTGAGAATCCATTCCAAACGAGCAGCCAAGAGGAGATGCGGTAGCTCCCAGATGTTGATGTTTTGTTTTTTGACATAAATCTTTGCACTCATATGGGAGTTTTCATTGATTCATGTTCCCATCTGCTGAATTTCCTTTTATTTATTTAATATGGCTTTGGGGGAAAATCTTGCTCCGAGGCTCTGGAGGAACATAAACTGTGGCAACCGTTGCACACCCCCACCCATCCCCAAAAACTTCGGTTGCCGAGGGAGGGAAATTCAGTGGCATCCTGCACTCATGCTCTCCTCTTGGAGGCAAGCGCTCGAGGCCTGCATTTACGTGGCTATTCTACTTGGGGCCTGCCCAAGGTTGTAAACCCAAGAAAGGAACAGCATGAGAGAGCTGGGGGGCGTTGAGTCGCTATCCCTCATCCTTCCTGCCCACCCACAATACCGTGTTTCCTTCATGCTAAAACACACGTACTCTCTTTTTAACAACTCGGAAATCAGGAAATATCTAACAGCGGATGTCAGTATTAAGTGTGTTAAGATTACATCCTTCTCCCTCCATTCATCCTGCACACCCCCATCCCACTAGTGATTCTTAGCAATGAAGAATTCCAGCTCTGAAGTCAGACTGCCTGGGCTTGAATCCTGACTTACTTTCTATAATGGATTCTTGAGCAAGCTAACTGCTCTGAGCCTGGATTCCTCATCTGTAAAATGAGGATAATAGCTATCTCTTTCTCAGATGTAGGTACATTTTACTGATGAGGAAACTGAGGCTGAGAGTACTTAAGAGATTTGCCCAACTACGGCAGAGCTAGGAACACCTCCTAGGTCTTTCTGATCCTCACCTTATCCCACCACCTCTTCTACGCCCATAATCTCCTGTGTATATCACATCCAGTCCAACCTTCTCTGCATGTACCACATGGGACTGTCTTTGCAGGACAGGATATGGCTGGACTCTAAAAATTGGTTCTAAGCTTACCCTTTGGGTGCAGATGCCCTTAACCCTTCAACTATGCATGCCCTTTTGTTGGAATTTCTATGTGTGGTAAGTAGGCATAATGCCTTTGCATGTGCTTAGTATCTTAAGGGAAGTAAACCCTCAAAATATGTTTAAGAAAATTCGAGGCAGGGTGCAGTGGCTCATGCCTATAATCCCAGCGCTTTAGGAGGCAAAGGCAGGTGGATCACTTGAGCTCAGGAGTTTGAGGCCGGCCTGGCCAACATGGTGAAACCCTGCCTCTACTAAAAATACAAAAAAATTAGCCAGGTGTGGTGGCACACGCCTGTAATCCCAGCTACTCTGGAGGCCGAGGCCAGAGAATTCCTTGAACCCAGGAGACAGGCTGCAGTGCACTGAGATCGCACCACTGCACTCCAGCCTGGTGACAGAGTGAGACTCCATCTCAAAAGAAAAAAAAAAAAAGAAAAAAAATTGATGGTGTAAGAGGGCATTTCTGTTCACATTGCCCCAAACCACATAGAATGAAATTATTGCCTTCTTGAACTAAAGCCTACTCATTGGTTCCATGATTTATCATTGAGGTTGCCATGAGATAGAAAAGAAGCAGAAATTATTAATCAAATTAAGCAGGAAAGAAATAACTCCAGAAATAATGGGAGGTGGGTGAGTAATACATTGTAGCAAAATGGCTAATTATCCACCAACATTCATTCTCCCCTTCTTCCATGGCATTAGAATTTAGCTGGGATGTGGCTGTCCAGTCAGGGTCTACATTTTCTAGCTTTTCACAAAGATAAAGAGTAAATTAAAAGAAAAAAAAAAACGGCCGGGCGCGGTGGCTCACGCCTATAATCCCAGCACTTTGGGAGGCCGAGGCGGGGGGATCACGAGGTCAAGAGATCGAGACCGTCCTGGTCAACATGGTGAAACCCCGTCTCTACCAAAAATACAAAAATTAGCTGGGCATGGTGGTGCATGCCTGTAGTCCCAGCTATTCGGGAGGCTGAGGCAGGAGAATTGCTCGAACCCAGGAGGCGGAGGTTGCGGTGAACCGAGATCGCGCCATTGCACTCCAGCCTGGGTAACAAGAGCGAAACTCCATCTCAAAAAAAAAAAAAAAAAAAAAAAGCTCAAAAAAATGTGTACAGTATGATCCCATTCACTTATATTTCAAACTGCATACATGGGTAACAAAACTATGAAGAAAGCAAGGGGATAGTTTTACAGATATATATGTAATAAATATGTATTAATATAGGTTTATTAATATAGGTTCATATACATGTTTTAGACATCCTCTGTATATATGTTATATTTCACAATTACCTTTTTAAAATGTTAGTTACTTGGCTGAGCACTCATGGTGGCTCATGCCTGTAATCCCAGCATTTTGGGAGGCTGACGCAGGTGATTAACCTGAGGTCAGGAGTTTGAGACTGGCCTGGCCAATATGGTGAAACCCCACTTCTACTAAAAATACAAAAATTTGCTGGGTGTGGTGGCACGTGTCTGTAAATCCCAGCTACCTGGGAGGCTGAGGCAGGCGAATAGCTTGAACCTGGGAGGCGGAAGCTGCATTGAGCAGAGATCTGCCATTGCACTCCATCCTGGGCAGCAAGAGTGAAACTCTGTCTCAAAAAAAAAAAAATTACTTACCTGATAGGGTTGTGTGGGAACCGAATGAGGTGATGCATGTAAGCTCCATTGCCTGGTGCATTGTAGGTACTCAAAGGAAGCAAGTTTTTCATTTATTATTTTTTTACTATTAAAATTATTTATTTATTTTAGAGATAGGGTCTCACTCTGTCACCCAGGCTGGAGTGAAGTGGCATGATGATAGCTCACTGCAGACTTGAACTCCTGGGCTCAAGAAATTCTCTGTCCTCAGCCTTCATCATAGCTGGGACTATAGGCACATGCCTCTTCCCCTGCTGGCAGTAACTTTTCATGTTGAGGGAAGGATTTGAGGCCTTGGGGAAGACCACATAATTAGCCAATGATAAGATTTTTAAAAGGTCATACATTTTTCTATGAAAGACATTGACTTCCCCCATATATATATATACACGTATATAATTGATATCAAAAATATCAATTTTTTGAGACTCTTCAAAAAAATAGGAAATATATATATAAGAAATATATGTATATTTCTTTTTTCTGATGAGTCTTTTTTTTTTTTTTTTTTTTTTTTGAGAAAAAGACTCACTCTGTTGCCCAGGCTGGAGTGCAGTAGTGTGATCTCGGCTCACTGGAACCTCTGCCTCCCGGGTTCAAGCAATTATCTTGCCTCAGCCTCCCTAGCAGCTGGGATTACAAGCATGCGCTACCACTCCTGGCTAATTTTTTTTGTACTTTTATTAGAGATGGGTTTCACCATGTTGGCCAGCCTGGTCTTGAACTCCTGACCTCAGGTGATCCACCTGCCTCGGCCTCCCAAAGTGCTGAGATTACAGGGGCAAGCCACTGTGCCCAGCCGACATCCTATATTTGTGTATATAAGTGTGTGTGTATGGAGGTGGTGAGTATTGATTTATTTAGGGTTAATTGATGGTCACGGACTTAGTGAATACTTGAAAAACTCCAGCCTTCCCTTCAGAGAAGACACAGAGAAGAAAAGGAAAATTGCTTGACTTGAGGAAGCCTGGATAAGAAGAGGTAAGAGCAGTGAGGATACAATTATATTTGCACTGGCTCCATATGAGAGGCTCAGGCAGGAGCCTCTAACCCCTGGATGTTCCACCTACACCCTTTTGGCTGTATCATGCTTCCTGCAGTGTGGATGAGGCCTCAGAAGTCAGCACAGGCAACAGTGGGATGGCCCAGACCCAGCTCAGCGATGCCGAGGGAAGCTATTCTGCTGACTATGTGCTCTAAGGGACCGTCGCAGCAGCCAAGAGTGAGAGCAGTCACCCAGCCAGAAGGCACTGGGATCAGCCAGGGACACCAGGAAAATCTGGCCAGAGTCTTCCAGCCAGGCCATGCCAACAGAGCTGTGCACCTCTGGATGCCACACCCCAGGATCTCAGAGCCAAGACTACTCTGCTCAGTCTTGGCCATGAGCTCCCAGAGGTGCCTCCCCAGGGCGAGCCCTGTTTGGGGCCATGGGGAAGGGCTTGTTTCCCTAGCATAGTTTGCTGATTTCCATACTATTAGCTGATAATAGTTTGTCATGCAATGGAAGCCATAGGGAGAAGGGGGTTTAAATGCTGGTCCCACTACTTAGACTGTGGATTCTTGGACTAGAGACTCCTTAAGATTTTTCCCTTCTACTCTGATCCCTTCTAGTTAATCCAATTCAGTCATTCAGTTCACTCTATACCAGGCAGGCTGTGGTGGCTCACGCCTGTAATCCCAGCACTTTGGGAGGCCAAGGTGGGTGGATCACTTGAGGTCAGGTGTTTAGGACCAGCCTGGCCAACATGGTGAAACCCTGCCTCTACCAAAAAATACAAAAATTAGCCAGGTGTGTTGACCCGCACCTGTAATCCCAGCTGCTCGGGAGGCTGAATCAGGAGAATTGTTTAAACCTGGAGGCAAGGTTGTAGTGAGCTGAGATCACACCACTGCACTCCAGCCTGGATCACAGAGCAAGACTCTGTCTCGAAAAAAAAAAATCACCCTATATCTGCTGCCCACGTGTAATGTCAAGGTGCCTTTCTTTCTTTCTTTCTTTCTTTCTTTCT